GTTCTTAGCCTTTTTAGAGTCACGGACCCCTTAAGAATCGGATGGAAGCTACGGCCCCCTTTCCCTGAAATATTCACATAAATACAACTTTGGATGTCAAGTGTTTATTGTACATTATTTAATGATATCTAATTGCCTCCTGCAAATATAAGATACACAGAGTATGATTAAGCTTTAAAGTAAAACAAAACAAAACAAAAAAATCTAATACCTTATCATGCAAAAAGTAATGTTAATTTTTTTATCTGATCCTCACAGCCCCCTGAAGCATATCCATGGACCCGAGGAAGAACCCTTCCTCTGTGTATTTAGACCCAAAGTCTACAAAATATATGCAGTCTCAAAGACTTTATAGTATATATAGATTCTAAAGAGTATATGTATGCTCAAAGACTCAAAGACTATAGAATGTGTATAATCTCAAACACTAAACATTATGTATAGACTCAACAGAGTATATGTAGACTCAAACTAGAGAATATATAGACTCTACGGAGTCTATATAGAGTCTACGGAGTCTATATAGTCTCTACGGACTCTATATAGACTCTACGGACTCTATATAGTCTCTACGGAGTCTATATAGAGTCTACGACGTCTATATAGACTCGACGGAGTCTATATAGACTCTACGGACTCTAAATAGTCTCTACAGAGTTTATATAGACTCAAAGGCTATAAAGTATATATAGACTCTAAAGGATATATATAGGCTCAAAGACTATAGAGTATATGTATATATTGACCCTATAATCTTCGCACCCAAAGTTTTCAACCGCTTGAATCCGACCTCTTATTCGGACGGTGCGGCGTGTGTCTCGTGGAACGGACTCTCAAGCGGCTGCGTCTCGATGAACGGACTCTTAAACAAGAGCGTCTCGGGGAACGGACTCTTAAGGACCGAATCCGACCGCACTTTCCGCCCTCATCCCGGGGAACCTAAGATGGGTTGCGGGCAGTTAGTCTCTTCGGCGAACCAGTTTGGCCTGATTTAACTGGAATTTCTCTCGACAGTCATCCTGACGCTGCACCTCTCTTGGCTTTTACTCGACTCTGTTTTTTATGCCATTATTTATTCGCTTTTGTTTGTGTTCGAACTTTCGTTGGGAGGTTACTGGGTTTAGGAAAGTTTAAGGGTTTGTGAGAGATCAGTGGAGGTGATTCGGGTATTGGTATCGGCGGGTATTTGTGTATATCTACTATCCCACCTCGCGAATCTATCTGTCTGCTTATCTATCTATCTACCTATCTATCTGGTTGTCTGTCTATCTATCTGTCTATCTATCCAGCTCCATATCTATCTATTTATCTCTATCTATCTATTTATATATACATAAATATATATATACGCCCTTATGCATGCACCTGCGCGCGCACACGCATACTAATACACCTGCAGGTGAGCTGATCTACCGGCGGAGCACTCACGCCCTCCGGCCCTTCTGTGAAATCTCCTTCAGTAACCCTTTGGCCGCGGCGGGAAGTGCTTGCTTGTTTCTTCCAGCTCAGAGGCATTGTTTATCTGTCTATTTGTCTGTCTATTTATTTGGCTGTTTGGTTATCTGGTTTTCTCTGTTTTTTCTTTGTTGTTTTTTCTGTTTGTTTTTTCTTTTTGCTTCTTTGTTCTGTCTTTCTCTCTCTCTTCTCTGTCTTCTCTTCTCTCTCTCTCTGTCTGTCTCTGTCTCTCCTCTCTCTCTCTCTCTCTCTCTCTCTCTCTCTCTCTCTCTCTCCTCTTCTCTCTCTCTCTCTCTCTCTCTCTCTCTCTCTCTCTCTCTCTCTCTTTTCTCTTTTTTTCTCTCTCTCTTACTCTTCATCATCAATTAGTTTATTAAAATTGCACGAGGCACGACCAAATAAATATTCATACTTACGGATATGCATATACACAGAAATGAATGCAAATCTGTCAATCTGTTTCATATATATACATTTATCTATCTATCTCTCCGGTAGATATGCATGCCTAGACTAATAGATATTCATTTATGTGCATATGTGCGTCTGGATACTGAATATTATACAATTTAGACAAGTCGGCAGAATGTATAATAATGTTATTATTATGAGGCTATTCATGAGCTAATAATATCTGGTAGTGGTGGTTTATTTCTGTTTATCTCATTTCTTCCTCTTTCTCTCTCTCTCTCTCTCTCTCTCTCTCTCTCTCTCTCTCTCTCTCTCTCTCTCTCTCTCTCTCTCTCTCTCTCTCTCTCTCTCTCTCGTCTCTCTCTCTCCTTCTTTTGGGCTCTCTCTCTTCTCTCTCTCTCTCTCTCTCTCTCTCTCTCTCTCTCTCTCTCTCTCTCCTCTCTCTCTCTCTCTCTCTCTCTCTCTCTCTCTCTCTCGCTCTCTCTCTCTTCCTCTCTCTCTCTCTCTCTCTCTCTCTTCCTCTCTCTCTCTCTCTCTCTCTCTCTCTCTCTCTCTCTTCTCTCTCTCTCTCTCTCTCTCTCTCCTCTCTCTCTCTCTCTCTCTTTCTCTCTCTCTCTCTCTCTCCTCTCTCTCTCTCATCTCTTCTCTCTCTCTCTTCTCTCTCTACTCTCTCTCTCTCTCTCTCTCTCTCTCTTCTCTT